CAACGCAATCAAACGTGGTGAATTAAGACCGGTAGAGCGACTTCATTCAAGTCGTAAAACACAATAGACTGTTTCCTCGAATCTGGTTACGAATCGTTCAGCTTGACTTTCGCGGCATAGAGATAGATGCTACTATTTAAATGCTGAAACGATATCTCAAAGGAAACTAACTTTATTAAAAACAAGGCACGCATTTTGAGGGAGAACATGCAGAGATTGCACCAACGAACTAAATGTTGTTAATTAACACTAAAAATAGAGGTAGATGAGAGCGCATCTAGGGACAATCTTAGCTATTTTTTACGCGGCGTAACAAAAAATACAAAATGTAAAGAATTAAACAAAATAAAGTGTTTTCCAAGTTTGAAAAAAGTAAACGACTAAATCGACTGAATTAAGGCTTTTTTAATAGAAGCACGCAATGGATGGAATACAATCTCAGTTACTTCAAAGTGCATTTGCAAAAGTATTGGCGGTTTCTCCACAAAGAAATGCAATTAGAGGTCAATCTGTCTGCACATTGACTCAATCAGATGCCGATTGAATCTGTCGCTTAGTCACTCATTACACCAAGAGCTCAAGAAACTAACTCAAGACAATTTAACAACAACCCAAAGCCAATGTTACTGACTTCTCTGCAGTCCTGTGATGCATGGTATGCGTTAGACCACCAATAGCATAGATCATGTCATCCACCACTCCAACCGCCACACGATTTCGTGGCACGGACATGGGGGCACAGGTGTGCCACCGATTCGTTGTGGGGTCATAGCAATCCATGTGGGGGGCGTCAACTTTGCTTTGCTCATTGTTATTGTTCCGTCCACCCACAAGGTAGACACAACCACGTACCGAGGCCGCTGCCAAACCGCTCCGTGGACTGGGCAGATCAGGTAATCGGCGCCATGTGTCGGTTGCTCGATTGTACGCCTCGAAGTTACTTAGGGAGTAGCGCAGATACCCACCGGCTGAGTATATCATCTAAAAAGAGATGAGGTATATTTCTGGCAAACTTATTCAAAATGAACAATCCGCGACAACTGGATAGATGACATTTGGTCTAAGCATTTATAATATTATGTGAGGCTTCCCAATCTCTCCTAGAGCCCTGTGCACACGATATACTTTATTAGTATTCCAAATGTTCTGTAAAATCTCGCTCTAGGTTGATCTTTAGCGTACAAAGATAACTCTTTTGTTGGGTTAGAGTGATGGGGAAACCAACAACACCTAGCTCACTAAGATGGAACACGCAAATCCCGACCTCATCATCCAAGTACCTCACCAAAGCAACACATATGAAAAGGATGCGCAGTAGATATGTAAAATCCGAATTCACATCGACTCTTGACAACTATCAGAATTTCAGTCTTAATTCACATAATGGCAAAAAGCATTTGCATCTCCAGAAGGGCAGACAAAACTACATCTACAGTTTTACATAATGAAGAAAAAAATTGAGTGAAACAGAAATACATTACAAAAAGAATCATTCAACATTGACAAAGGGACTCTGAATTATGGTCTTATTTAAAGAAAAGCTATGTCCAAAGCGTCCTATGATTTATTCATTTACATTGGTGCGTTTTCCAAATCACTGCGATTCGGCCCTCACGGCGGCAGCATTAAAATACGGAATTATTCCTCCTTCCATTCACACACAGATGTTATTAGCATCTCTAGGGGCAACACAGGTACTATATCGAAGTCAGTATTAGCGACTCCATTCTTAAAAACAACCCCGATTTCGTTGAATTGATATAACGCCAAAACATCCCAGAAGCAAGAAATCAGCAA